AAGCTGAATGTCAGACTTGAGTGTCAACTCCCATTTTACACTCTAAAAGGGAGCAGGAATTCCACTGAACTCTGCCAACCAAGAACTTAGTGTTGACATCAGCTCTGTAAAATTGTGTGTGTGCAAATAAATAACCTAAAGTTCAGAAAGGTGAAACCATTTGTTCAAGTTCAGAGTCAATTTTCTTTGTATTACTCCAGGACTCTAACTATTGGGGTGCTCTTTTTTATTTTTTATGTTAGTGAATAACTGCCCTTCTTTTTAATAATGAGAATTTAAATGTTTCTAGAAAAGCATTAGAGTAGTATAGTGAAAAAAATGGGAACTTTGACGTTAGGTCTTTCTGGGTTAAAATTCCAGTTCTGGCTCGGTTGTAGTGTAACCTATGGCAAATCACCTACAATCACCTCAAAAGATAATTGTCAGAATTGAAGCAGATGGCTGGTCCCTAGGGAAATGTTAGCTCTTGCCAGCTCCTCCTTGGTGTAACATGAGTGGGTATCTCCAGCCCTCTCAAGCAGTTGATTAAATACTCAATACGTGCTTAGAGGTATTTGTATTTATTTCAATTAAAACAAACTCCTGCCATGTGGCATTTTCTGGGGGAAATTTAGGGAAGGTATTGTGAAGCTGGGCTAATGATACAACTCCCACAGGTTAGGACTCAACAGACCCACCATGAGTAAGGCCCTTTTGCCATGAGAGTGCTGGGAGGAGCTGTGAAATATCTGGTCAGGGAGACAAAACATACAGATGCAAAGTGAAACAGCAATAGAAGGCCACAGAGGATAAGTTTTCAAGGAGCAATTAGGTAATAAATGTGTGAATTGGGAAGACAGAGAGAAAGAGACCACTTAGCATGGGCCACTTTGAAACCCTTCCTGACCCATTTCCTGCACTCTTTCTTTCTTCGGTCCCTCCACAGCCCTTTGAGTTTCTGTTAGAGTTACCAGTGCACTTATTTCTTTGTAAATATCACTATCTCTTAATAACCTGTGCCACCATTTCTCTTGTGGATTTCCAGCTCCTCCTTGGAAAATTAGGTACCAGTAATTGAATAGGTTGGAGAGAGGCTGAAGGAAGTTGAGACCCAAGGATTTGGATGTTAGAAGAGGGGCAACTTGCTATGCATACTAAAAGGAGAATTTGGCATTCTTGGGGGATAATATGGGGTGAAGTATGAGGAAGAAAGGAGAGAGGGGAGTGGGAAAAGGGAGAGAGCAGCTAGCAATGCAGCAGAGCTGATTATTCCTTCCAATTACCTACATCTCCAGTAGCTGCTACAAAACTCAGGCAGCTTTGTGAGTGCCTTTGATGAGAAAACCAGGAAGGGGGAGAGTTTCATTTCAACACTGTGTAGAACAGATTAGATGTGATGAGGTAAAAGTGACTCTCTGGAAGTTACCTAGCTCTTGAAATAGCTGTATATTTCCATAAGCTAGGTAAAGGGTTAAGAGTTCAAACCAGGTTTACCTGGATCTTTAAGAGACAAAGGGATGTCAGCTGACTTTTATCTCCAATTCCTTTCTCTTTCCTCCTCTCCCTTTCCCTCCAAAACTTACCCAGTATAGTGCCCAACTATAGGCACTTTGAAAATATCTGTTGTGCTGAGTCAAATATAAATATTATACATGGTTTCTGCTGTTACCATACATAAAATTGAATGAAAAAAACACATGCATTTCATACATAAAAATAAACCTAATCTTAACAATTCTGGAAAGGATATAAATACCAACTAAATATAGGCTTAACACTTTCCCATCTCTTTTTCAGTATTCTTCAAGGGCCAGCCCACATCTCATCCTCCAGGAAGTCTACCGGATTTTCAGTGATATTTCCTGTGTCAGAAGTCTTATGACATTTCCTGCCTGTATCAGCCATTTGACACTTGATCATTTATTTTTCAGATGCATGTCTTGCCTTTTCCACTAAATACTGACATCCCTGAGGGCAGGAAGAGGGGCCACTCTTGCTGAGGGCCTAGTATAGTACCCACTATTCGTAGTGGTTCAATTTTATTGATGATTTGTGTAGTGCATTGTATTCTCAGAACTTGACAACTTTACTAAATAAATATTTGTTGATTTGAGCCGAATTGTTGGGTGCCATAAACCTCTGAGAATATATGATTCCTACATATTACTCTCATAATAGAATAACAGGAAATTAGAACTTGGAAAGAAATCAAATCTAATTTTTGTTAACTTATAAGCAATTTTCCTATTGCTTTTGGGCAGGTAATTTTGACTTTCCACCTCAAAAGCAAATATGATTTCTTGGCTAATAACTTTCATATGAGGTTAAATAAAGATACACAGAATTTTGATGCTGACATTATAAAATCATGTGATCTAACCCATAAATGTGTGCTTAGGGAGGTTAAACAGACTGCCTTATGTTTCTTCAGTCTGTTGCAGAGCTCACCTAGCATTCAGTTCTTCTGCTTTCTGGTCCAGTGGTCTTTCCAGGGCACCAAGCTTGTTTGTCAGAATACCATATTTTTACAAAGTGTTTTCATTATTAATGCAGTATGCTAAGTCTCCAGGGTAGAGTAATTTATTACAGCTAGGAAAGTCAGTCCTAAGCAGTGTGCTAGTCCTATAAAACTGAATAGATTTTGAAATAAAGCATCCTTGGGGCTCACTGCCTTCTGAGGGGTCCAGCATCTCATATGATATATACAAGGTCTGTCCGGAAAAAGTCCAGCTGTTGTTAATATAATGAGAACAGTTTGCACAATGTAGATGTAGCCCAACAGCCAAGGAGAGTGAACTGGAATACACATGTGTGAACAATGGTGGCTTCACTGTACTAGTCAGTGGGGACAGTGGATCCTGTTTAGTGAGCATGGGTACTGTGTGGCTGTCGCATTCAAAATGACTGAGCGAGCAGAGCAATGAATCTACATCCAATTTTGCGTTAACCTTGAACATTTCTCTGCTGAAACTATTTGGATGTTTCAGAAGGCCACAGCTATGGGCAACTGGTGATTGGCAGCTTCATCACGACAATGCACTTGTTTATGCATCATGGTCTCGTGCAGAGTTTTTTGATGAAACATCAAATCACTCATGTGACTCAGCTCTACTATATAGCCCAGATTTGGTGCCCTGTGACTCCTGGCTTTTCCCAAAACTAAAATCACCTTTGAAAGGGAAGGTTATTTCAGACCATCAGCGAGATTCAGAATAATACAATGGGGCAGCTGATGGTGATTGGGAAAACTGTGTGAGATCCCAAGGTGCCTACTTTGAAAGGGACTGAGGTGTCATTGTCCTATGTACAATGTTTCTTGTATCTTCTTCAATAAATGTCTCTGTTTTGCATGTTATATGGATGTATAACTGCTGAATAGACCTCATGTATATATCCCATAAATGAGCCTTTCTTTATGAAAATTCATTATAAGTTAGCTTTATTGATTCTATTATATCGCTGTTAATTACAAGAACCACAAAACCTTCTATTAGATTAAAGCCATAATAAATAAGATTAGAAACACTTTTCTGCTCTGTATATTGAGTGTTTTTATAATAAATTAATGTTTATCTTTTTAGAAATTACTACACTGACATATTAAAAAATTGTATCAGATATTTTGATGTTTTTGGCAAAAACATTTGAGCATCTTGTAATAACCAATGATATTAACTATTATTATTAATCATCATGATGGCCCTTTAAAGTGGATGTTATGATTAGTCTTACAGATGAAGAAATCAAAGCTTACAGAAATTTAATATTTTGCCAAGATCCCACAATAGGGGGACCAAGATTAAATGCGGTAATATACATGTACTTAGCACAGTGCTGGGCAATTGGTTTATTGAATAAATGCAACTGAAAGGGTAAGTGCGAAGTGAGTAAGGTGAAGCTGTTATGAAGACGGTACATAAAGCACATGTTATAAGTTCCTATATACAATACATGTATGACTAATATTTAATTGAGCTTCCTTACAATCCAAGGGAGAGATATAATCAGGGATAAGTGATAAATAACCTTTCCCAAGAAAAGTGTAATAACTTTGGCAGTTCAAACCTAAGGGTCCTTTTTCAAGACAGAAGATTTAATACCTTAGCAAGGGCCTTGGAGGATGAGGCAAAGTCACTATGGGATGGCTGTTAGAAGCCTGGGAAAAGTGATGGCCACACCTGAGTGAGGGAGAAGCCTGCATTGTCCTGTCAGAAGGCAGAGGAAGGATTATGAAGTTGAGGAAAAGGACATGCTAGAATGGGATATTATATAAGGTCAGAAGACTCACCAGAGGATTATATTCCATGGGAGGCCCAAAGAATATGTCATTCACCAAGACCATTAATAATGCACTGCCAAGAGGGGTACCAGCATCAGCAAGAAGTGCAGTCTACCTCTGAAGGCTAAGGCTTGAAGTAGAAGAGTGGTCCCAGAGCTGGGTTCCTTGACAGTCACAGACATAATAGGGCTCCTCCCAAGTAATAGAGACCAACTGTAAGTGCTTAACTACCAGAAGCCAAGAGGCCACTATTACCATAATAACCTATAGAGTCAGAGGGGCAGCCAAGGAGCGTGGTCTGCAGGAATTGTGGAAAGGGTTAATAGATTGTGGTATGCTGAGGGGTAGAGCTGTAGCCAGCAAAGGTACTACATAAAATCTAGAAAACATAGGGGGGCCCATGACCATGAGGTCCTCCGGTTACTTGACAATATGAATCAAGAAGCTAACAATATGCAGGCCATTTGACTCAGTGGTTCTATTTCTGTGAACTTCTCCTCAGCTAATTATCTAAATATTACATATTTAATTATTTGCATGAAGAAATCCATTAGTTATGACTTATGTAGTAACATGGGAAAATGATTATAAATTAAAATAAGTAGCCCTGGCTGGCGTAGCTCAGTGGATTGAGCGCAGGCTGCAAACCAAAGCATCGCAGGTTCGATTCCCAGTCAGGGCACATGCCAGGGTTGTAGGCCAGGGCCCCCGGCAACCACACATTGATGTTTCTCTCTCTCTCTTCCTCCCTCCTTTCCCTCTCTAAAAATAAATAAATAAAATCTTAAACACCACCACCAACAAAAAAAACCTGAAAAAAAATTAAAATAAGTATAAGGAACAAGTTACAAAATAACATATACACCATGATAATACTTATATTAAAATGCATCTAGTGAAAAAATAAGTGAAAGAAAATATATAACATGGTAAGCTGTTTATATTAGGCTTGTAAGATTACAGGTGACTTTATCTCTCTAGTCTCCAGCTCTTAATTGAATTTCATGTTTTTTCCATGGTATTTTAGTTGTTTTGTTCAATTGAACCGTTTAAAGGCAAACCTCATTGTTTGAATCTATTTTCCCACTGTGATCTCGGCTAGCTTTTGCAGAGAAATAGACTGGTGAGGAAATGTTCTTTTGATGAAGATTTATGTCTGAAGCTCATGTGTGTATAATTGTTGGTTGGATTGAAATTTTTAAAAAGAGAATTTCCTAATAAGAAGCTTCTATTTCATTACGTTTGGTTTACTTCAGTTCAGATGGATATTTGTAACAGAACTGCAAGTTTCATGCCACATATTAACATGTTGGAAGGAAATACTTTTCACACTGTTCTCTTTCTCTTTCCTATATATTCCCTATAGAGTGATGTTAAATCTTTTTTCTATTCTTAAATATTAAATTGAATTCCTTATTTAATTTATTTGGTAGTGTCCTTGGTCAACTTGTCAACTAATTCACACAATTTGCGAGCTACATGAGATTCCTTCCTCTGCTGCAGCACCCACATTTCATCAGTCACCACACACCGTCTATTCTGTCTCCTCAGGCTTTCGACATCTTCCTGGCATTCCTCCCTCCCTAGTCCACTACTTTAGATATATTCTCATTACTTGCAGCCTGCAGCTCTTCAGTGCTATGCGATTAATCTCCTACCTTCCGATCCATTTTCCACATCTTCCCTAGGTTAGTGTTTCTCAATGGGGTGAATTTTTGTTCCCCAGGAGACATTTGGCAATGTCTGAAGACTTTTTGGTTGTTGTAACTGGGCCAGGAGTGGGGTGGAGGTTTGTGGAGGGTAAGGAGGAGTGAGATGGATTGCTGCTGGTGTCTAGTAGTTAGAGGACAGAGATGTTATGCTACTAAACATCCTACAATGCACAACACAGCCCCACAACAAAGAATTTTCCTGCCCAAAACGTCAATTGTGCTGAGGTTGAGAAACCCTGACCTAGACTGATTCTTCTAAAATAAAAACCTGCCTAAATACCTCAAAAACACAATATTTCTTTTAGACAAAAGCTTTTACATAAGGTTAATCTTTCCCCTAGCTACACAGTACACATACTTATTACTTCCTGAACATGCCACTTACTCCCTGGCTCCTGTGACTTGACTGATGCTTGTAGCCTCTTGAGTTCCTCAGGCTGGGTTGGGTGGTCCTTCTCTGTGATAACTTTTATTTTAACATGGGAAAGACATTTATTACCAAACTATAAATTAGAGGTGGTGGGAGGAATGGGAGGAGCCAAACTGATCACTTCTGGGGCCTCTGCTCTTTTCCTTTGTCTTCCTGGACCTGGATTCAGAGTTCCTCCTCAATGCACTCTTTCAATTGGACCACCTTTGATTGCAGGTAGAAAGAGCCATCCACAGATTTATTGTTCACTTTAAATAGGTGTTCATAATTCTGCAGGGAAGGGGAGATGGTGAGAGTCTCTGAGTTACAGAGGCAGGGGAAGCCTCTGGATTTCCTCGGGGCTCAGCTTGGAGACATTGAGGATCTGCTGTGCGGAGGCTGAGGCCAGAGAAGTTAGAAGCAGCTGCAGACTGGTGTCCACCACATCCCTGGTCATCAGCTTTGGCCAGGCTGGCTGCAAACTCCTGCCACAGGGTCCAGGCAAAGGCCTTGCCCACCACCTGTACCCCCAACACAATGATCTGGGCCAGGTACTTGGCCATGGCTGCTGCTCTACCTCAGGGACACCAGCTCTGGCTTCCAGGGTGCCTGGCCCTGGCTTAAGGGCATCGGGCAAGTCAAAGCTGTAATCACTTTTAGAAGAGCATGAATCACACTTAACTGTTGCTTATCTGCTCTATCTCCCAGCCTCCCCCCGCCCCGCCCCCGTAGTATTAAGAGGCCAGGAACCAGGTTTTTTTCCTCAGAATCTTCAGCATCTAGTGCAATGCCTGGTAGAGGGTAATGGATCTAAACTCAACCCAAGGCCCTTTCTCCTTATTCCCTTTTCATGAGCCCTACAGAGCACTCAGATTCATTCTTGAGCACAGTGGAGTTATTGCTGCCTTCCTGAGTTTGCATTTACTTCATCCTTCAACTTACCTGAAATGCGGTTATTGTTTACGTCTCCATTTGTGTCATTCCCACCTGTTCTTTAAGGCCCACCTCAATAAAAAAAATCACAATGATTTACCAAGCTCACCATATATGCCAGGCCTGTATTATCTGAGTTCATCTGCAGCATGATCCCTGTAACAAAGGTATTGTTTCAATTGAACAGGTGAAGAAAATGATGCAAATAGCTCTGAGTGACAGATGAGGCAATACATGCACAAAACACTCACGTGGCAGGCAGCTAAGCCATGGCTCTCTCTGCTTGATTCTCTTGTCTTCTCTGTTAGCTCTTCTATCTCCTTCCAGAAGTCATGTTGGAGAACCTTTGTTCTGCCCCACAACCTTTACTGCAAATTGTTTAGGGTAACACAGGAGGTTAATGGAGGGAGCCAGAACTAAAATCTAAGACTCTAGATTTGAATCCTCTTTTCACTCACCAGTAACAGAGTCAGCACTTTTTGCTCAGTATAAATTGCAGTAATTCCCCAAGTCCCCGGTGAGTGGAGTCAGGGCAGGTGAGGCAGCCTTAACAGTGACCTTAGCTGCAGAAGCTAACCATGCATGGCTGAGGATTTTCCCGAGGAAGGCATTGGACTGTTTTAAGCTCAGGAGTGAGGAATTGATCTGAATTTTTAAAAACTCACTGTGGTGAATCAGTTGGAGACTGGAATGAATGCAGAACAACAGTTTAAGAGGCGTTTGTGGTCCCTCAGGTGAGGGATGGTGGCAGTTCTGATCACGTGGCTGAAACACCTGGAGAAGAGAGTGGATTGGAGAGATATTTAGGAAGTTGTCTGGATTTGGCTGTACAATGCCTACAGAGACTGAATTTTGGCCATAGTGTGACTTTAAGATACTTAAGTCTTTATTTGTTTCCTCGTGGATAAAATGAGGATAGTCCCTATCGTGAGGGATTCTTAGTAAAATTGTGAAAAGTGCTGGACACATTATCAACAAGCATTAGTTCTTATAACTATTACAAATAAGTTTTTTTTTTTTTAAATTTGCTAGCGTTCTTTAAATACGGAATAGGTTGGATCTAAGGTAACCTGTCAACGCTGGAAGATTTATTCTTAAATTCCCATCAGTTAAGTACTCCATAAGCTCACCTCTTATTCGGGGTCGGGACACCAGGCAGAGAACTGTGATAAATGCATTGCAGCGCACAAAGATGTGGAGGTCACCCCAAACTTGGGAGGAGTCAACCTATGGTCAAATCCTGACAATAGGACTTTCTGCGCTGGCTGACCTTTCCTCCTCTAGACTGGTGTTTCTAGAAGACCCACCGGGTAAAAAGCGGCGAGTCGGAGGCAGGAGGGTGAGCGAAGCCGGATGGGGGCGGGGTGGGAAGGCTAGCTGTTCTCGGTCCGGTGTTTTGGTGGTGCCGCTGCCTCAACCGCGGTCCCCGCCCCCGCCTTTCCGGGGCTGCCGCTCGGCACGTCACGAGGGGGAGGAGCAGGCCGTGGGGTGGGAGGCGGGTGCGTCGCGGAGCGCAGGCCGCGGCGGCCGCGGAGTACCTAGAAGCCGCAGAGAGCGCGGCCCTGCGCCCCAATCCTGGTCGCCCACCTCGCGCCCCTTCGTCCGCCCCGTGCGCACGCACGCCGGGGCCCTGCGGGGCTGGCCGCCTAGCGAGCAGGCCGTCCGACCCGGGCTCGCACAGTTACCCGGAGCTCCCCCCGGCCGAAGCGCACACGGAAGTGGTGAGTGTCACCGACGGGATGAGAAGAAGCCGTCAGCTGCCGGCCGCTGACGGACCGGGCGAGGGGCGAGGGGCGCGGAGCCTGGCGCGGTCGGGAGACGCAACCACTGCTGTCGGTCCGGGCGCGTCGGGGACTCCGGGCCTCCCCGCGAGCGCGGCGCTGGACCGGAGGGCGCGGGCCGGGTGGGGGCGTGCGGGTGCGCGCGGGGGATTTCCAGCGGAGCGGGGCGGGGGCCCACGGCCGGCAGGGGAAAGGTTCAGGCTCGTTGCCCCCTCCCCCTGAAGGCGCACCAAGTTTTCATAAACAAGCCTGGAACGCTCTGACATCCTGTTTATACCACCCTGAGATACAGGCGCGGGCTTGAGGTCTGACGTCCCTCGTTGTTACAGAGACTGTGACCGCCAGCTCTCGGGCAGAATTGCCGGGGGGGCGGGAGGAGGTGTTTTCTGGCCTCAGGATGGAGGCTGAGGGTCTTAGCGGTTTTCCTCCTTTGCCCTATCGGCGAAGGAAAGTTTCTAGGGTCCGGGGTCGTGTTTGTGGCGAGTAGGAGGTGACTGTGGACTCAGGAAACGCCCCCTCCCCTTTTAGGTTCGGTGGGGCCCCAGGCTGCCAGCGAGATGGGCGAACGACCCACCAGTAGCTAGACGCCAGGGAAGAGGAACAGAGAGAGGGAGGGAGAGGGCCACCTGGGGAATTGAGAGTCCTACTGTGAAAGGACTGATTAACTGAAACTGGGGCCGGTCTCTGGCCTCCTGTCTATCCCCACAGACCCCAACCGCGAGATCCTCGAGCATCAGCAACATCGCAGGAGTAGTAAACTCCCCTCACAAGTCACTCTCCAAGGTTCCAGGGCTGTGGGTTCCTTGGGTATGTGTGTACCAAGGAATCCCTCTGGGAAGACTAGATAAAAGGTGTAATTATTGCCAGGCGTTTGTGCACTTTTTTTTTTATTGTATGTATATTCTCTGTGAATTCTAATGTGTCCCTGGGGAAGAGGACCCAGTCCTCCCTGTCGCTTCTTTTAAATACGTGTCTGTAAGTTGTCTTCTGCTTCTGGTTGGATACATGTTATTAACATTTTCTTTTTAGAGTCGGGGTATTTTTCTTAGCGGCAGGCATTTGCAACTGTATAAAATTGTCATTACTCCTTTTGGGGAAGGAAAGCATTAACAACCTCGGAGACTTAACATGATAAATACAATGCAGAAACAATTAGATGGGACCATGGAGTCTGATTGCTGGCAAAGTATTAAGAAAAGGGTTTGAGTTAGGGGCATACACATAGTGGGAAAAACATTTAAAAATGAGCATTTTATATTGATTAAACCTTTGTTCTTTGTTTCCAAAACCCCATTTTCTGGTGGTTCTCGCTTTTGCCTCTGGTAACTCTGATGTTTTCCAAGACCTCACTTGTTTTACACTGAAGGAGCAATGTGTTCTTTTGTACTTTGTGGTGAAGGTTAATGGAGATTAGACACTTTGGGTACACCATGCTTTGTATTATTGAGAAAATGTCTCCTATGTATAGATCTAGATCACATTTAAAGAGGTAAATGTAAATACATCATAACCTGAGTATTTGTGAACATTATGAATTGGAATACTCATAACCTCCTCTTAATTCTGTATGTATTAACTAATTTCACTATCTCTTAGTTTCAATAAATAGCTGTAAAATATATTTTTAATACTAGGATTGCAGTGTGACACTCTGGATTAAATAGAGCCAGTTTAAATAGTTTCTGCAGTCCACAATGTACTACTTATTACCATTGGGGAATGATGATGGAGGGTGAATACATTATTATATATAGATAGATAAAATTTAGACATTTCCCAAGATATAACTACATTTCAATTTATAGTCTTAATTTGGGTAGTATTAATATCAGTTTACCTAATGCTGTACTTGTAATGATCTCTCTGATCGTTTAGAGTCTACCTTTTACAGATTTAGGGTGTTAAGGGGCATTAGGTTGCAAAATCTTTTTGATTCAGGCATGTGCTAAAAAGCTGGTGAAAATGAGTTGAGGGTGGAGTGACCTTGCAGGAATAGAGGCTCAGATTAAATGGCATGAAGAAACTTAAACTGCGTGTCTAAATAGGATTGTGAGGTTGGCCAGTTTAGCCTCTGTGTTCACAAACATTAGTGGTTTGTACTATAAATTCTAGTAATGTTTGAAAGTTATCACTCAGTTTCTCCTGAATAGCTTTAAGTAACATGTTTGGATAGAAACCCAGCTGAAGCAAGTATTGAGAATATATGTAGGTGTATGCTTGCTTTTATACAGGGAACAGAAAAGTGTAATTGTGTTAATAAGATTTATTAGCAAATACCAAGACCTGTTTTATAATCCCTCTGATAAGTGTTTTTTTCCTTAAACACACACATTTCATTTTACATATCTTTATTATGTATATCCTTATTATGTTATAATGAGATAACATGCTTTTAGATTCATTGTCTAAGATGTGAATGTTTGTGCAAGGAGATTTTCTTGTTCCTTTCCACACTTTAAAAGTTATTTTAAGTGGATGGGGAGTTGGTTAATTAACCAGTGTTGCTGAGCAAGCAGCTGCTGATGCTATTTGATTTATTGTAGCTCAGTTGTGTATGGGGCCTTGTCATCGAGATGCCAGAAGGAACATTTCAGATAGTTTTAGACCAGTGTTTCTTAACTGGGTATAATTTTTGTGTCCAAGGAGATAGTTGTAGTTTCTAGAGACATTTTTTGTTGTTGTTGTTATTTCTTGGGGGTGGGGTGGGAGGAGGCAATGTTTATATGAAGTGGGTAGAGGAGAAGATGCTGCTAAACATCCAATGGTATTTGGAGCAGCCCCCTGCAAGAAGGAGTATTTGGCTCAAAATGTCAGTAGTGCTGTGCTGGAGAAACCCTGTTTTGGAATGCTGGGTGGGGAACAAGAAGACCCTGGCTTCTGTCCCAGCAAATTGTTTCACTTCAGGCTATTTTACTTATCTGTAAATTGGAACTAAAAATATCCACTGTGGCCATCTCACAAAGTTGTTTGGAAAAATCAGGTAAATAATTCGTGGAAATTGTGAGTGCAACACAAACTGTAACTATTAGAAAGACATGATTTAAAAAAAAATTATAAATGAGTTGTTAGATATACTGGTGGTTGAGGAAAGAGGTTAAAGCAATATTGTTGAGTGAGGAGATTAGATGGTTTGGTATTGTTGAATTCTTTGTTAATCTTTTTGGGTAAAGGATTTTTTAATGTATTAGAACAAATTTTTTAAAGAAAGCTCTGTTCTTTAAACTTTAGATTATTTTCTCGCAACAAAAGGGAAAACTCACTGTAGAAAAATTAGAAAATACAGGAAAGTAGAAGGGTGAGAAAAGGTATCAGGATCGACGCCCTTTCCCATTTAAGCACAATCAAATTCTTACCAATTTCTTTGCATCAGTAAGATGAGAAGAAAGTTAATGATAGAAAAAGAGGAGCAGATGAAGGTCACCAACAGCTGTTTATTTCTGAGTCTTTCGTTTTCTCTTTTTTAATGATTACCATGTACAGGTAAATTCAGTTATAAGAGACATTAGCGGAATTGCCTCTTTGTTTTTATTCTTCGCCGGCTAACCTCCAAACCCTGTCCCCATTAGGCATGTTGTTTCCTCTCTGCTGCTTGTTCTCCCCCATGCTCGGCTAGGTGTGCCACTGTTGCTTCCTGTCTTGAAAACCCTATGGTAATGTGGGGTTTTAAACAGCTGCCATGTTAAAATAACTGGGTTTCAGGGGCAGGAAACTACTTCCTATGAGTATTCTTCCCTGTGAAGTGCACCAGCTTTTTTAGGCAACAAGAAAGCATAAAATATTAAGTTCATTTCCATGACATATTTACTTCTAAGGTTTTATGATCTGTGATTCTTAACAGCTGGCAGTGGGCACGAATTTTTCCTTGGTGCTCTGTGAATAAATTGCCTGGTCTCAAGGCTAGACCTACTTTAGAAACAAAATGAAAATTTCTTTGAGTCCACTCCAGCCAGAAGACAGAGCTGGTCTTTGTTGAGATATTTTTAATCTGTAGTAACTGAATTTACTTAAGAGTAATATCACACAGCACTTTGTTCATTTATTCATTCAGTAAATATATGTTGAGCTTCTGCTGCGAGTCTCAGGTGAACAGAGAGAACAAAGGCAAAAATCCTTGCCCTCTTAGAGGTTACAGTCTAATGGAAAACCCTTGGGCCTCATCATTGAGTTTCTTAGTTGCAGATTATACACATTCAAGAGTAAGTTTTACTTTATGTTTATAGAACATTTTCTAGAAACCTTTATGGCACTCCTTAAGCCTGAGGAAGCTGAGGACTAAGAAGTAGCCACCCCCCCCCCGCCCCCTTATTTTTTTATACAGATTAACTCATTCTTCATGTATATAAACATCTTTCGGGTGCCTACTACGTTCCTGGCAGATGAGTAAGACAGTTTACATGGAAATAAGCCTGCTGTATGTAGCCATAACAGTGTGGGTGGAATTATGAGCACTGGGACCCCTGAAGAGAGCTAAACCCTGTTTGCAGCAAGTGGTGGGTGGACTGGTGGGCTGTCAGGATTGCAACTGGACAAGCTCAAAGGATAGGTTTTCTTTAGAATGAAAACCAGTGAGGACTCTTTGCTCCACAAAAGGTATTTAACTCTTCAGAGAAAGTTATTTAAGAGTGATCTGGGAGAGGAGGCTGCCTCTGAGAAACCTAAAGAGAGGAGTGGTGGCTTGCAAAGAAGGCAATAGTAACTTGAGCCCAGCTGGGGGAGACTAAATCAGATCAATGTGTACCTCTAGATAGAAGAGAAACTGATTTATTGTATTTTTATTGTTTTTCTTTTTTTAAATTTTATTTTAATCATTGTTCAAGTACAGTTTTCTCACTTTTACTCCCAATCCAGCCCACCCTCCCAACCCTCCCCACTTCCCTTCCATTACCACCTTCCCCCTAGTTTTTGTCCATGCATCCTTTAAATTTGTTCCCTATTCTGTT